CATACAACAAGGGTTAGAAGTTATACAATAAAATGTTTCAGAAGTAGAAATGAACTGTCTTAAGTCGAATTCAGCATGGCCTCGAGCGTACAAGGCTTTTGTGACCTTGGCTAAAGCTAGCAACACAAAAGCGTCAAATGACGGATATCAATGTGAGTCCGTCGTAGCACAGCAGTAACATCTCGATCAGGTTTTTCTCCAGTTTCCCTGATCCATTGAGCAAATGCTGAAATTGCCCTCCCCCCCCCCTTGCTTTGCTTCTGGAAGTAAATGTAGCTTCACTATGCGCACGTTTCGTTGAACTCTCCTTTTACTTGTAATGGTAAGAGTATATTTTTTTCAAATATTGCTAATGTTCCGATTTTTAAAATTTATTTATTTATTCATTCATTTATTTATGTGTACGTAAGCTTCCGCGGCTCGAATCCATGAATTCTCGGCTGTCCGGGAGACGCCGCGTCGTTGGCTGGGGTGCCGACGTTTCGCCCGACATTTCGCAGGCTTCCTCAGGGTAGTGACACTGCGGCGCTACGCGAGCGTAGCGCCGCAGTGTCACTACCCTGAGGAAGCCTGCGAAATGTCGGGCGAAACGTCGGCACCCCAGCCAACGACGCGGCGTCTCCCGGACAGCCGAGAATTCATTTATTTATGTTAAACGTTTACTCACCTTTCAACTATTTATAGTTAAAATGACGGAAAGGTATTCTGGAACTCAAGAAAACGTGCGTAGATAATCTTTTCCCCCGTACGTCACATACAGCTTTTACTTCTTTTTTGACTGAATAAATCTAAATCTAAACAAGCGCGCTGCAGTGACGTCCGTCGCATAGGGGCCAATGGACGTTTGCTGCTAAAATGAGTATGTGGTTCCTGGTGGACGTTGCAGTTTCTTAGGCATTAATAGCGAGTAGAACACATGGAGTACTAGCGATGTACGTTGAACAAGCGATATGTTTTTTTCAGTTGTAAAATGAATAGATTCGACATTGAGAAAAAAGCACGTGCAAGCATCTCTTTAGGTGACATAGATCACAAAACTTCACGTTGGTATCTTGCCTTATAATATGATCGTTTATTTTGAGAGTAATGTTCTGAACGACTGCTCGAAAAAAAGGAAAAAGTTTTGGAAAAAATTAAACAATGCATCACCGTCATTGCATAATTTTTGAAAGAGGATGTAAAATTTTATTTTTACAAGCTGCTGGCTATTAATGGAATATGGTCCAACCATCTTTCCTTTATAACTTTCATTCCAATTCAACTGTTTGCACTCGCTTCAGTAGTCAGCTATGTATTCCATAATTCAATTGCACGCTCTGGTGAATCACGAGTGGGTACCGCTCACATTTATGTTCAACTAGCTCTCGCCGGCTATGCATTTTCTGATTGACTATGGCTAGCTCTAGAAAATTCATAATTTGTACCGCTCAAAATTTGATTTTTCTGGATGTTTTTAACTACTGAATAAATTGCACAACTAGTTTTTAGAAAATGAAAAAAGGAATACATTATTTCCTTTAGCTCAAAATTTGCCTTGAACTGCCTTCAAATTCAAGTATCCTGTTCTCTCAAATCAAACGGTATAGTCTACTTTTCCCCAGGAAGGGAAGTTTGAAATAAGTGTCTCGTAGTGGATATGTACCTCTCTTGCAGAGATGGATACAGCTGGTTGCAGACTACGGATGTGGGCACGCGATATTCTATGGAGAGAACCAGACAGATTCGCGAATGGAAGTTGATGGCATTCAATGTACAGATCTGAGTTGCTACGTGTTGTCTATCCTGTATACAAAAGTAGATTTCATAGTAGAAATGTTAAATCCTGTGGAGATGCTCCATTCGTGAAGTCTGTTAAGGACCAGTTGGAAGTTGTCTTTCGACGTTGATGAACAAACTATTGCAAAATCATCCGCAGCCTTTACAGGTCTCACACGGCCGACGCCATATTTATTTATGGCAATGGCACAATGACATTCAGCTCCGACTCTTGGGGACGCCGTTTTGAAGAGGGGTTACCACTAGACAGCGAACACGAAGCCATATATTCGAAAAACAAAAAAAAACCTTGGAGGAAGTTGGAGAGCTTCCCCCTAAATCCTCAAAAGTCCACGGAACGCAGAATGCATTACTTCGAACCAACCTTAGGCTTTTCTTGTCAATAGTATGGCCACAAAGTGTTGACTCAAGATGGACTAGAGATACTTCTGTCACTTACGCAACTCGATGGTTGACCGGTTATCTTCTGAACCCGCATTGGATTGGCGTGAGCAGATTTCTGCACGCAACTGAAGAGATATAGGTCTCAGGTTCGATCAATATTTTCTTCTTTTAGAGCTGTGACAATGGCTTCTCCCAATGAGCGGGGACGGTCTGCTCTTCCAGTCAGATAAATTGTATGGCCATTTCAGAAAGATGTTATAGTATCAGGTTGTGAATTTCGCCAGGACTTACGGCAGTTTTTTCCCAAGCGCGATTACAGTCATGAAGGAACGTAATCATCACGCGCACTGCTTAAAAAATCAGATGCAAGGCTTTCCATTCATTAACTAGTCTGAAGTAGTTCAGCGAATTCGACATTCTTTCATAGTAAGTTGCGAGTTCCTCTACAATGGCGTCACGGATGTAATAAACTCGCCATTCTTAAAAAGACCTGGTACTCCATACCTGACGTAGGGACATGTGACAATTAAGAGAGGCGCATGCCATCTACGATTAATTCTTACTTTCTCGTTTATCTCGTAAGGAAGAAGAGAAAGCATTTTAATCGTGCGCCAGAAAACGGCGATTTTTCGACACAAAACCCCTGCTATTGCTGGGTCCTGGAAACGAAAAATGGAAAAAAGGAAATTACTTCCTCTAACCCGGTGTCGTCAGAATCCGCTTTGTGGATCCTTGATTTCAGAAAATCGATTAACGGCAAAACACCTGTCTGCTGCCAACGCCTACGCTTATAACATTTATGCTACCGTCAGATCATTTTTTCCGAAATAGATATTATTCGATGTCATGATGAACTTTGTCCTCGGAGAACGTAAAGGACGCTTAAAAAATGGTGGTCTCATATTTTCCTTTCGAGGGTACATCTGATGGAATTCCGAAGGTGGTCAGACTAACCTATTCATTGTAGAACAGCTATTAAACGCCACGTGTGAATGTCAATCTTTCATTTGGGTCTTCCCCTTCGCTTGATAGCTCTTGACACTTGGCAAAAGTGATTATCATGACCTTTCAACAATTTCCCCCCTTCCTTTTCTCATTCCTATTCCATTGTAATTTCTAGAAAATGTAATTCAAAGAAAATCATGATATTCAGTTTTTTCTTTCCATTACCTGTTAACTAAAGGTTTGCTTCACCATTGCTCCTCCGTCAAGGTTGTCGTTTTCTTTGTTTTATAACGAAACATTAAGTAGACATCTTAATTTCTATCTCAGTCATAATCCATATTAAAGGAGAAAGATGAATCTAATAAAATGTTTCTTGGATTATTTTGGATAAAGCCATATTTGCTAGAATAAACAAAAACATCATTCAGTAATTGAGGGGTTGTGGGCCAAGAACATAGGAACTCACGAGACCACAATACACCAGACATTTAGGCGCCATACAAACCGTTTCAAATTAATATATGGATTCCCGTGTTCTTGTACACACAGCCTCAATTTTCAACCCTGTTGAACATATTATTCTGTGGCGTCACTGAATTTTGGTGATTAAAATTTATTAAAATACGAGTTCTTAGTTCAGGCGAAATGCGCCCGAATTCGACGTAACTCGAGAGCTTTTGTTGATTTCGACGGCGTCGTACGGTCGGCAATCCTCTCGCACTTTCAGCCTGTCCCTTTCGTTCTTTGTGAATGTCTACGGTAAAGGCGCACGGCGCCCGCCTGGACCCCATCCCCTCTATTTACACACACACACCGCCCACCCCTCGCACTCGCCTGCCCGTCGAAGTTGGCGACGATTAACCTACAATGGAAAGTTGTGAGCCATCGACGACGACAAAGTACGCAACAACAGGAAAATACTAAAGTTGTCCAATTTTATGCTCTTAGGCGACGCCAAAATACAAAAACAAATGTTTTCTCATAAAATTCTGCTTGCGTAATTCCCTGATCGAAGGACGGTTAATGAACTTGTCTACATTACTCCAGGCTGCAATCGGAACACTACTATTCCGGTGAATTTTGCTAAGTGTAGTGAAAATTAAGAATGATTAAAAGGAGCATGAACTATGAACACCTGCTGCTTCGATACTTAAGACCGCTGAGCAAGAAACTCGTCTGCGAGCCTGCTGCGAGTTGTGCAGTGTGAGGTTGCGGGAGCGCCCGACGAACTCAGCCCTGCCTCCCGAGGTTCCCATCCCCGCTTTGAGACGCCGAGTAGGCGGTCTGCCCATGCAGACGACTTTCCCGCCTGTAGAAAGGCCGGAACAGCTGGCCAGGTCAACAACGACATCGAGGACAACAAATCGGTGGTGTCATCCGACGACAGGTTACTTTTCGGCCCTTCACGCAAAACCTATAAACAGACTAAGAAAAATCACATGTAATAGTAATGGCAAATCTCGGCCGCGCATTGGCGAGAACGAAAAATTCTTAACCTGTCAATGTAACTATATTTTTTAGAGATATTGTAATTTAATTTTTTTTGGGGGGGGAGGGAGGGAAATGAGCTCAGTTAAATTATTTTGTTTGTTTTTTTTATATTACGACATTAAAACGAGAGAAATTATGTTTCTCTGGATAAATTCTTTCATTTCTCTGCAACAACGTCCATCCTCCTTTGGTCACTTACAGGTAACCTGCAGAAGTCGAGAGCTAGCTGGAGCATACTATGTTAAATTAGAGAGGTGAGTGTGACAAAACAAAAATTAGCGTGACCTGGGTGTCAATTCTGTAAGCTATAAAATGATGAAAACAACACTGTTTTTGAAAAAATAGCCAAGTAGAATAGATTAATTGTACATCCTTTTTTGCTAATATGAATGCATTAACAAAAATAATTTCACTCTCAACATTTATTTATTGTAAGACCAATTTAACACATACAAATACAATGTCAATAGGGGATTTTTAAAATTAGTTTAAAGCAACAACATTATAAAAATGTTTCCCTATCTTCAGATTTAAGTACTTATACCATTGGTTTTCTCCTTTTAAAGCCACTATTACCATGAGAATGTGCAAACTGTAAACTACAGAACATATGGATTATTGAAAAATATACAATGAAATGAATACAACAATTAAATTATTGCAATGTGTCAGAAAACCTTTAACAGTATTCAAATTGGCTATCTTACTGTCACTACACATGTCAACTGAAGATTGCAAGCAAGATTGAAAGGATCTTCAGTTTAGGTACCCTTCTTGAATCAAAACATTGATTCATATCTACCAAGTCTCAGGTTATTATTCAAACTAGTACTGGACTAAACACACAATCCACTCCTGTCAATGAAATTGCATGGAATCAAATACTTTATTTGACAAATATTTTGATGATAAAACTTTTGATTTCCTTTTGTATTCCTTTCTTGAAACATTTTGTCCTCTCTTTCCTGCATATAGAGCATCAGTTTAAATGACAAGTAAATTTCCAATGAAATAAGCAAATAACATTCTACTGTGAATTTTCAATCCTCATAAGATATCACAGTTACCTCTGTACAAATAAACAGACATAGTAAACAGAACTAATTGTACTTTTTGAAAAAGTCAATATCAACAAAATATCATTTCAATCTTAAAAGATTGAATAAAAAGAATTCAAGAACTCAATATTATAAGTTCAAACTACACATCAATAGACATGATTTTAATAATTTAATTCTACAACTACCCTTTCAATATCACACACAAAAATGCAAGAAAGACATGTATTCATTTTCTTGAAGACTACATATTCAGTCTTACAGTCAGGGCGAGAGCTTATTAAAATAAGAGTGATGCCAGATTTAGGGATCTAAAAAATTTTGTGACACGCTCAGCCATCCACTTTGGAAAGATTTTTTAATTGTTTCTACATTCTGTCTAAGACGGAACTTCTGTAAGACAGAATACCAGACAAAAATCTCAGAATGGAATGATTTTATACATGAAATGACCTCTACAGCTGGAAACCTGCCTAATGCAGACGTGGAATGTTTTTTAGAGAGCAGTAAAGTGATTATTACCAGTCTAAGACAGAAATCTATGTTTAAAATTCTGACACTATCTTGTTTAATCAAAACCAGTTCAGATGAATTCAGCTGTTGGAAGTGTCACTGATGTAATCGAGGCTTCTTCCTTTCGTTCAAGCGAACTCAGCTTGCAAACTTTTTGTTTGGACTGTTCTTTACTAGGATATCTGTCTTTCTCACGAAATCAGCCGAACCAATGACGCTGATAGGTGTTACAGGAACTTTAGATTACATAATAATCGCAATGGCTGACATTACAAAACATGAGTGAAGAAATCAAACAGGCTACTCAGGAATTCCGTAGTAAACGTTTGTCATAAATATTATTTGAGTCAAATAACATTAAAGTGATATAAAAAATAGATGAAATCAGTTGAAAATGCTTTAAATCACAGGAAAGGTAAAAATTGATGTATTAATCGAAACCAACGAATAATGCAAAAAAAAATTCATAAAAATGGGTCACTTCCTTACGTTATAGCATAAAAATAATATCTATACTAAAAGGCATAGTTCTAAATTGAAAAGAAAAAATAGCATTTCATTAAATCCACCACTAGTGATAAATTATGCTTTGCTTTCATTATTTTGTTTCACTAATATTACTATATCAAAAATACTGCACTTAAGTTACATAGTGATTTTTTGGCAACCCTCCACAAGACTGAAACCTGCCATGGCGGAAATTTTTTTAGGGAACCATCAGGTTCCGTCTTAGACAGTTTATGCTGTTTAATGAACCCGTATATTCATTTATACATACAGTTCAATACTGATAAATGGAATTTTAATTATTGAAGTTGCACAGTTATTAAATCAGAACATTTACTTCACAATTTAAACATATTTTGAATACACTGCAGCTTAGAAAACAAATAAATATTATCCTTGGAACATGAGAATGCAGTGACATGTTTTGTACAGCCATACATGCTAGTTTACCCATTCAACTTTTATTATATATGAATGATTAAGCATTTCCAGTCTATATTTCTTTATTGTTCTGACCAAGGCTGATTTTTCGAACGTCACCATTATCCCAAAGTTTTGTTTCAATTCAAGAAAGAAAGAAATGTCTTACACATTTCACATTCTAGAATATATAAAAATAATACTTTTCAACAACTTACTTTTGATGAAAGTAAAATTTTTAAGAAACTTAATTTTTTAAGAAATAAAATTTAGAAAAACATCTGGCAACACTATTTAACAACCACAAGTTTATAGAAGTACGTGCTGAACACAAAACACACTCACTTTATCACAAAAATGCTCACAGCTGAGGTGGGTAACAATAGGAATTAAAAGTTAATCACAGAATATTTGTTTTTATCACATTACTGCTCTTCAGTGTGAACATGATGATAGTAGTATGATGCTGATTTCTTTTTGCGCCAATACAAAATACTGAATAGAATGGATGATGTCAGAAGTACAGCCAGCAATCCCGAAAGGGCCAGAGCTGAAACAAAACATCAGACAAATAAATACCTTCACATAAGATTATAAATAGAAATCCGTTTATTTATCTGGGAATGTAAACAAATAGGAATATGGCACTTGACATCTGTCAATATGAACTTGATTAAAAGACAAATTTTTCAAAAGGCTCTGAAATTTAATAAACCTGCTTGTATGATCTTCACTGATCTAAATAAGATTATAAGGTATTGGAATGGTCTAAGATTATATGATATTGATATGGTAAAATTTATTCTTATTATATTTTTTATCACTTGTATTTTATGAGATATTGAGGTAACTTAGGTTTTACATTATTTTTTTATTCTACAATGACAAGCGTAAAACAACGAATTCAACAATATACATATTGTAATATGTTATATAAGATTTTTTTGCGTACTTTTTTGATGTTGTTAGGATAATTAATGAATTGAATGAAGAAAAGATCTCGCAACCTTTTTGAATTAATAGCTAATAAATATACCAAAAAAAAAAAAAAAATCAAAATGAAAAATGGAACAATATACCCACCTCTTACATACAATATACACTGTAACTGCCTCTAAAACAATACAGCAAGGTAATCAAGTCCACCTCCATTTGACGCAATAAAAAAGTCCATAAAACAGAGGTTCCCTTCAGGCTTGGTATCGACCCTCTGGAGGTCGATTAAATTTTGAAAGGGGTCAAATATGACCAAGGGAGCTATATACCATTGGGGTATATAGCCATATACAAATTGGCAATTAATAGGTATAATCCAGATTCCATTGATTACAAGAAAATATTAAAAGAACTTGAAAATTAATTCTTTTCTGCTATAGAGCAACCAAACATATAATAATAAATCACAAATTTGTTCTCTTCTTGATATCCGACATGCATCATTACGATCAGATTGTAGGTAGAATGATGCAACTGGTTCACCGCACCAATCTCCGAAAGTAAGGGGCCCTTAGATAAGGACTCTTGCAGATAGATATTGACAAAGAATCCAACAAACTGCACTCCACACTTTTTCTTTCATTGCACCAGCCATCTTATGATTCGAATTATATTTAAAACTCTTCATTTCACCTTTATTGGAGATAAGGGTATCATTTCAATTTTCATCATCGGGGCATCCAAGAACTTGCTACATAACTGCTTAAGGTTGTAAGCAAAGTTGTAAAACAAGTGTTAAGTTCCAATGCTGAAAGTATATTCATCTATTAACTCTTACATCAATATACTGGTGAATGAAATATAGGAATCTCTGCCAATTTTTGTGCACTGAGATTGCTCTATGTACTGTTATGATCTCAGTTGCACCCAATTCATTAAGAAACTTTTGAAAATGTACCACTTCTTTCGCAGCATCGCTTAATGCAATATATTCCGCTTCAGTAGTTGAAACTGTGTATGTTTTCTGCTTTCGAGAATCCCATGTTACAGACTCTCCATTCATACAAAATACATATCCTGTATACGATCTTATGTCATCGATTGATCCACCAAAGTCAACATCAACATAACCAGTAATAGATTCTCAGTTATTTTTATAACAAATTTCAATGTCTTTAGTACCTTTTAAATATCGTTGAACTCTTTTTGCTACTTCCCAATGTGTTCCCTATCTAAAACAGTTATTGAATTGCGATAGTATATTCACAGCATAAGCTATATCAGGATGAGTAGCCATTGACAAATACAATGAACATCCTATAAGTTCCTGAAACAGAGCTTTCTTACCATCGGAGTCTTTCCACACACGAGTCTTTGATAACTTAAGCAGGTGGCTATTGGTGAGAAAACTGAGTTACAGTTAGACATATTCAATCTGGACAAGTATTTCATCAATACATGTTCTTTGATTCAAATTTATTGCATCTTTTTCTATTCTAAAATCTATACCCAAACAACATTTTACTTCAGCAAGATCTGTAACTTCGAAATATTTTACTAATCTGTGTCCAAAATCTTCAATCTTCTGCTGGTCTCAACACACAACTAAAATATCATCAACATATACAACTATGATCATTTCATCTGATTTTTTTTTTTTACATAAACACAAGGATCCCTCTTTGTAGGCGTAGCACCTTCATGACAGAGCTTTTTGCCTGGATTTTTATTCCAAGCTCAACCTGCTTACTTTAAGCCATACAGAGCCTTCTGCATATGACATACCATGCCCCATTGAGCATTTCTTCTAGCATAGCATTCTTTCATAATCATAAATTTTACTTAAAACGATGTTTCAAAACTTTCAGCCAGTTGAATAGTTTCTTCTTTCAATTCGATCATTATTACAGTGATTTCATTTATTTTGTCATTGCAGTGAAGATCTTCCTGCAATGCAATTTTTCCTGCTTCTGTCCTCTTGATCAGGGCAAATACTTATTTCGATAAATGATTTCGGGTGTACTATTCAATCCTTTCTTTACATTTGTCACGGTTGATTGACTTGAATCATAATCCTCTACCCATTTAAATTCTTCAAATGTGGTGTTCAACTTAAACCAAATTTTCTGTAAATTTGACGTACCTTAACACTGTTATTTTCCTTTCAACTGGAATCCATTTTCTGTAAGCTTTTGTATTCATACAATATCCCACAAAAAATTCTTTCTTGAAACAGGGTTCAAACTTACTTCTTCCGGGCGATTTAACCATGATTTAAACTTCAGAACCAAACCTGTTGAACTATGATACGTCGGGTGATTTTCCATTTAATCTTTTTGTGGAACATCTATTTAGTTTGCAATCGGCAGTATTAACAGGTTCTGCCCATAAATACAAAGGCAACACTGATTGGATCATTAACGTTTAGCAGTATCGATCAGTGTTCGATTTCTTCGTTCAGCAATTTCATTCTGTTCTGGATTATAGGAGTAGTTAGAAATAGTAAAATTCCATATTTCTTCAGAATGTCATCAAAATCATTATTAACACATTCAGATTCATTATGCGTTTGAACACTTTATTTGAATTCCCCATTGGGTATACATGGTGACTAAAATTATCAAATTCTTGAACAAGCTGATTCTTATGCTTAATGATATTTATTTCGCACCAAGTAGAGCAGTTGTCAATGAATGTACAGAAATACGTTCCGCCAAGTGAATTAACATGCATCAGTACACACACATCCAAATGTACCAACTCTCCTAGTGAGTCTTTCCTTTCAAAGTATTTTGGTAACGATAATCAAGACATTTTACCTTGCATACACATCTTGCATTTAAAATTATCGTAGGTAATACGAAAAGTGATTTGGAAACTGTCGATAAATTCCCGATTCACGAAGCGAGGAGGGGATTTATCTGAGAATTTCCAAAGCATGAGTGTTATTTAATAAAACTATTCCACGAGTAAAATTATGTCCAACAGAGTTCCAAAATGCGCCCAATATTGAAAATAGCTGAAAGCGTATGTTAAAATCAGATGTTATGCTACACTGTTTATTGGACATCGACATAGTGATCGATGTGTAACGTCTCCAAAGGTCGAAGAGTCACAGTTTATGATTGGCCAGTGGGAAAAAGCGGTTAAAAAATCGGAATGGAAAATGATAAATTTTTTGGGGATACTCAACTTGATTGGGGCATATTGTATGTATAGTTAAACACTATTAGTTTTAATTTCAAGAGTAGAATTAGTCATTAATATTTTTGAATATTGATTCCTTGTACGCATCCCTTTCTCACAGCTTCGCGTAGATCATGCAAATTTAAATGACCTAGGTGATCATGAAATTCTTCTATCCTATGTTTTACTAGACCACACCTCTGTTTTTTTCTTCAACAATGTTATTAGATTCGGAATTACTGAAGTTGCTAAAGTAGTAAAAATAATTTACTAGATAAGCAGTCAACAATAATTCTCCTAAAAACTTCAACCTTTGACTTTCTGAACACAATATACTGACCTTTATTCGTAATCTTACTCACAGAGATCAAATTAGAACACAAGTCTGGAGCATATAATGTTTCTTGAAAATAATTTATTTTTCGTCTGCCTTTCACATTTGAAATAGCTGAAACAGTGCCTGTTCCTACAACTTCTCTATTTGAATTGATAGTAAGATTAAGTTTACCATGTACTGTCTTGTCTAAACTTTTGAACGTATTAATATCTTTTCATATTTGTGAAGTACACCCACTCTCTAGGCACCATTTATTATTACTCACGTTTTTATTTTCTATTTGGAGAAACTCTTCTTTCTTCGTATTTGATGAAACAAACCTAAGGCTTGCAGTTTGCTGTATCAACTTTTTGGGCTTTTTACAGTTCTTAGCTCGATGTCCTCTCCCGTCGCAATTGCACCATTACAGTTTAGAATCATCCTTATATTATGTACTTTGATGCACTCCTTGTTGAAACTTCTTGAAATTATTCTTATTTGAATTCTTGGCTATCATTGCGTTCTGTATATTTCGACCAATGTGCATTATATTCTTCTCCAATTTGAATTCTTAATGTCTCAGGGCAAGGTAATATATCTCGTGAATTCATGGTGCACCTGAAGTTTTCGAAAGCTTCTGGCAAACTGCGTAATATCACTACAGCTAAACGGTCTTGATTGATAGAAACCCACTTTTCTGAAAATTTGTCAACCACTTCAAAAAATTGTCTTGTGTACTCATGTTATCATCTCAATCTTGCATCTTCATTGATATGAGCTGGTTCAATAATGCAGCTTTTCACGCGGGTCCTTTTGATCGATTATTCCACTTGTGAAATTAAAACAAATACTGTTTAACTATACATACAAAATGCCCCAATCAGGGCGAGTATCTCAAAAAGTTTATAACCTTTTCCATCCGATTTTTCTTACCGCTTCTACCTACTGGCCAATCGTAAATCGTGACTTGCCTATCTTAGGAGGCGTAATACATCCATCGCAATGTTTTTGTCCAATAAACAGCGTATGCACTATAACATAACTTTTGATTTTAACATACGCTTTCAGCTGCTTTCAATATTTGGCGCATCTTGGAGCTCTGTAGGACATAATTTTACTCGTGGAATAGTTTTATTAAATAACACTCGTACTTTGGAAATTCTCAGATAAATCCCCTCTCGTTTCGCGAGACGGGAATTTATTGACAATTTCCAAAGCACTCATGGTATTACCTGTAATAAATTTCTGTTTGGTCCATATTGCACGAAAGTTTCGCAATCTTTATTTGTTTAATTTCGAACGGTTGAATTGCCAATATAATATCTGCCTGCGCTTTCAAATATACATTTGTCCATATTTTTAGTAGCATCAGCCGTTTTTGTAGCGTCCGCCGTGAACTTCGGCTTTCCGATTTTGCCGCTCACATAGTCCCATGCATCATTGTTAATTAATAAGGAACGTATTTGCAGTTTCCATGTGTTGTAATTATCCTTATTTAACATTTCAAATCTTGCACCAGACGAATTCATTCATGGTGTGACATGCGTTCTCATAAATCATTTTTATTTCGCGAAACGTTTTCAAGGACACTTATATGTACTAACTTTATGCGCTTCGTTTTACGGATTTCGGCCCATAACCTGTTAGCAAAGTTGTAGTAAAATAAGTGTTAAGTTCCAATGACGAAAGTATATTCATCTATTACCTCGTACATCAAAATACTGGTAAAAACAAGTAATACACAAACAGGTAAGGTCGCAAAGCAACGGGCATTGTTGAGCAACCATGGGTCCATGAAGCTTTCATCGCCGTACTAGTACTATCTCTAATGGGATTCAATACAAGTGTTTAGGAAACTCAACGAATTATAACTATGTATTGGCAACTAGATTTTATTGTGGAGGAAAATATTCCCTCCAACACACAATGGAGAAATATTATGGACTATAAAAAAATGCTCACTTTGTCACCATTATACAACGACGAAGATTAGAAACTCAGATACTCACAAGCGGAAGCGTCTTTGATTATTGGAAATATATGCAGATATTTGCCAACGAAATTGTTATATTTATTTTAGACATTTATGGACCATCCTTTGTGTTATGATTATGTATGATATAGAGAAAAAACAGAAGGGATCGATGGAGCCAAGGATTATTTTTAAAAGGGGTCAATGAACAAAAAAAGTTGGAAGTTGCGAAGGCTTCCACGGCCGGAGTTTGTCATCTAGGCTCTCCGGGACGAGCTGCGTCACTAACTGCTAACATTTCGGCCAGCGTATTGTGGCCTTCAGAGCGTACTGCTGTACGCTCTTGTACTCCCGCTATAGCTGCTCCAGTAAGGGCAGCAGCAGAAGATAGAACTACACAGAATAGCAATGAGGGTGGCTTACGCTTACCGTACGGTCTCCAATGATGTAGTGTGTGCAGTGACAGGTATTCCTCCAATCGAGCTAATGGCAGAACAACACAGGCTCTACAAACGCCGCAGACAGAACAAAGGAATGGAAGACCTCGTAGAAAAGAGACGCGAGTCCATGATTCAGTGTCAAGAGACCATGGGACAGCTCGCAAAAGGGGAGATGGACGCATTGACTCATCCCAAATGCAGAAATATGGGAAAGGTGAAGCTATGGCGAGGTGGACCTCCATCTCATGCAGCTGTTGACTGGAGGCAGCTGTTTCCCTGGGTATCTCTTCCGCTTTCTCCTGAATAGACCCCCACTGCTCCACAGTAGCGGAGGATGCAGAATATGTTTTCTTTGTCTGCCTGACAGCAACCGCGGCCCGAGAACATCGTAAGGAGTGTGCTGGTTTCTAAGGAGAAGTGGAAAGCAATGGTGGTCTTCTCGGCCCAAATAATAAAGAAGCTAAAACTCGAGGAGCAAGTGAGAATGGCGTCCTAGAATGGTGCCAAAAGACTAGGGGGCGTATTCCCTATTCACCCCCGCGAAATAATTTCTAAACGGCGGTTCCATGGGGGTGAAGAGGACTAGGAAGTGGTTTTAGTGAGTAAGAATCTCACACTACCATGTGGAATGGGCCACATGGGGTCTTTTTAAAGATTTTCACCTAACCTCACAAAAAAGAGACAGAGAAACCGACCAGTAGGCAGACAAGCAGAGACAGTTTTGCTATCAACAAATTTTTCAGTATCAAGGATCAATAAAACCTAGATTCTGAATACAGAACATGTAAGAGGAAATTATTATACCACATAAAGGAACAAGATTTATCCAATTTTCCATCACCTGGGCCAGACAATGGGAGTGTTTCTGTCGAAAACACCACATCATTTAATACATTTTTTTTACTACACAAATGTAGTGAAGTGAGAAAGTAAAAATACCTGAGGGAAAATAACTCCCTTCACTTCAACTTACAAGAATTTCCTTAATTACAATTTCCATTATACTTATGCATGATGATATGGGAGAACACAAGATTAATCAATTTAGAAAACCAATAATACTTACAAACTCTTCCAAAACATTACAAAAAATAATTTTGACATTCTTGCACAGAATACAACACAAAGTCAACATGTTAATAGCATCATGAGGGGTTTAATTTGTTCATAAATATAAATGCAATAGTTTGTTCATAAACATAAACGTAAAAAGTTAGTTCTTTAAAAAAGGTCATATACATTTTTTTTTATTGTAGATTTGAATTTCCCACACATCTTTTGCTAGAATCTTTCAGGAGTTATCAGTCTGCAATGCAATGGAAATGCAGCGACATGCAGTTTGAAATTTTCAGGAAAACTTCTCAATGGTGTGGTGTTGTGGATTGTCGAATTTGTGTTGATGTATTAGCTTATGTTTTCACTCCTAATGTGCTTCAATAGGTATTGTCCCTCAGAATGGACAGAAATTGAGGAATAATAATGTAACAATTGTTACTAAGGCGAGAAAGTACGTGCATCAGTAGTTTGCATGTTATTTAGCGATATTATTTTGGAATCATAACTCCACCTCGAGCTAGTATACCATTAGTTACAACTGACGAGAATGAAGCATAGTAAAACATCAATAGTTGTTAAAAATCTAGAATCGATCTACATTTGCTGAAAACATTAATCTACTATTTCCATGCATTTGTTTTACGCCAAAACAGTTAAAAACTGCGTGTGATGTACTATGGGGAGAAGAGTATTCTCTTCTGACTCGATTGCAATACATGCTATTTCCATTTCAAATTTTGGTCAATATGGACTCCTAAATATTTGCAAACTCCAACTTCCAATATACTTGGAAAATCAAGTCTAAATTACCAGTTTGATTTATGAAGCTTCATATACATGTCTGGCATACTGTACAGGTCACTATCTAACGTTATAGATAGTCTTTCCTCTATTTAAGCTCGGAAAATTATGACAGCCATTTCACATAAATGACAACTTATCTCCCAAATCACTTATTACATGGATTCACCCTTAATAATTACTGTCAAAAAAATCTTATAACCTATAGGCAAAGTTTTTAAAATGATGTTTTATACAATATAAATAAAAGTTCAAGAATTGTTCCTTGAGATACACAGCATTTCAATGTCAACTCATTACTATACTGGCCATTTTTTTTCATTGTGATCTATTTGAGAAATAGCTTTTGATTAATTTGTAAACAAATGTTTGTTTACAAATTTACTAATTTTATCTGTAATATAAACAATAACATCTGTAGAACTTTTCCGTTCTTGAAACCCAACTTATACACATTAATGTAGTTGTATTTGTCTATAAATTTTTTAAATTTGTTTTTCAAGTTTTTTAAAAACATTTTTGCAAAATTTGAGTTCAATAAGATTGGTCTGTAATTTATGGCATTATTAGTTACTTTTAAGCACAGGTGTCACTTCAGCTTTTTTTAACAAAATTATTTAAAAAATTTCCAGTTTCTATAATTAAGTTAAACACACATTACTGGTTTAGATACATTTTGCAACACATTTAATAACTTCTGTAGGAATATCAGCTATTCCATCTGATTTTTTAGTATTTACAATGTCTATAATTTTTTCAACATAGTTGTTATTAGTAAGGAACAAATATATAGAATCTACGATGCAATCACAATTTACTACTTAATATATTCTGATTAAAAGCATGTGATTCTATTTGATTAAAAGTAAGTGTTTCTTTTCAGAGAAAAAAAGAGAGAAATAGAGGGTGTATATCTAAATCATGTTAGTATTAACTGACCTACCTTGACAGATCAAAATATTAGTGATTACACATACAGAATTTAATGCTAATAATAAAAATGAAATATAAATAAAACTGATTAATAAACTGTGAAATTTTCACTTTAATTTGTAAACTTTGTAGATTTTGTAAAGTTGTTAAGTTCAGTAATGTTAAGTTAGTGTATTCTGCCACTAAGTTCTCAAACTTAATTGCAGAATTATTAATAAATCTAATAAGCAATCTCAGACCCAGTATGGTAGATCTTACCTATAATAGAGAGGCTGTTTAGTCGGAATTCATAAACTACTTCCACAGAGCATTCCTCTTCCCAGTTACCAGGTACTCGAGTTTTTGTAAGAGCTATAAATTTCTCATAAGGACACACTTTTCTGCAACCAGTCAGTGTCAACACACTTGGATCAGCAGATGAATTCCGATACGAAATCTGAAAGTAAAAAATTTAGAATTGAAGATTTTTAATAAGAATTAATCTCTTGCGATTGTCTTCGACTTCCTTCTGGCTATGCAACTGACAAAAAGTGTTTTTAAACCACAAAAAGGTATTTGGATTTTTTATTTTAAAAAACGTTTAAAAAAAAACAAAAAAACTTTAATTGATCTTTTAGCACAACACATTTCCTCACAGTTTATGTATAAAATTGTCAGCAAAAACAAGATAATTAAAGGAGAAAACATTTTTTCATCACCAAATCTCCATCAATTAACCCAAGCTATGAATTACAAATTCAGAATCTGCTATTATAACAAATATTAAAAATTCAGAATTGCTAGTTTCTTCCAATTTTTGAAATAGTATCTACTCATTTGTCCATTTTTTAAAAAACAATTTTGAATCCTCATTCTTTTCTTGAATGTTTTATACCATAAAAAACAACACCAATGCCAGTCCAGATAGCCGAGATCTCTAAGGCAATAATGCCGTAGTGATCTCGGACTGAAGGATCGCGGGTTCGAGTCCCGCGTCAGGCATGGTTGTCATCCTTTCACACCCCTATCGTCATCATATCGTGTCATCCTCATAGATACCATACCATTACACGTAATAGTGGTTGCTGATGACCTAGCTCTTGATGCGACTTCAATTACAAAAAAAAAAAAAAAAATCAGCATTTTTTAAAATTTTCATATTAATATTACACTAGAAGCAAATGCATACAAAGCAAGCAGATTTGGGTAGATCAACTTTTGCTGCTACCATAATAAGAAAATAAAAATATTCGTTTTTTTTTTAAAATTGATTTCAGTGGATTCTTTTAAGGGTGTTCTCCATTACCACATTGTCCCACATATGTGTAAGTAATTTTTAAATCCTGGTCCCAATTCCATTAAATAACTAGATTTCACACATTTATAAAAACTCCATTTTGCTAGTTAAAAATTTGTCAGTAACAATTTTTTTTTTCTTCCCTCTTCTTTTCATGGACATTTTTTTAGTTTTTGTGTGTTATTTGAGTGTAATATTATTTTCATTTGAAATATTATTCACAATCAAATCAGTTCATCTTTTGTATATTGTGTTCTTTGCATGTAAATTAATTTTTATTTCCCATTATAATGTTCCAATGAGGGAAATTTGAAAAGTACAAATTGAGAATTTTTTTATAACACATTCTTTTCTGCTTACTACTTTCAAAATATATAGTCCCTTGAAGGACATGCTAAAAAGATTTCACTGTATCAAAAATCTATGATACTGCATCGAGAAGTAAACAATTATATTCATGTCGATATTCCTAGAACTATTGCATTCTGCACATTTTTTCATATGTTTCTTCTTGTGTTGTCAACCTTATGCATAAAAGCACACCTTACCAAGGAGAACCAAGTTTAAGATGAAGTTGAACTGAATGACATTTATACAACTAATTTAAACGGACATTTTGGAAATCCAAATTGTCTTCTGTCCAAAAATTGTGAAAAAGTCATAATAAATATTGCTCTTGCCACTATAGAAACACTGAAAATGATTCATCATCACACTTGTGAACTCAGTGAAGTTGCACCACTATCAAAATAAATGGTAATGTCCAGTGATTTACCAATTGTAAACTCTTTGCCAACTACAGAAATAACTTTTCAGTACTTTCAGAATAAATGTAACCACTTTTGCAGATCTGAGAATGGAGTCAAAACCACTTATCTTTCAAGTGGACTTTTACCTCTATTAACATAAAGCCTCCTAAAAACATGGAGCATGAAAATGTTACAAGTGGCAATGCATACACAGGTCATTAAACATGCCATGCTGCAAACACAAATTCTTATATGCAAGAGACTTTGGGGCAAAGGTTAAAATTGTAATTTTCCAAAACATATTTCTCAATCACCCATTGTTCTATTCTAATTTAGAAATTTCTGTGTTTTGAGTCAGACATGACTATGGAAGTTTTGTCAGTATACTTCTAAATGATTTTCAAATAGTCCAGAAATGCAACAGTGTAATATCATACGCACAATAATTTAGTGTTTCTCACAAACAGCTGAAAAATAAAGAACTAATGGAACTGGATATACATACCACTACATTATATTCTTCATCTGCATTCTTCCATAGTTCCATGAGAATCATTGCAGTGTAGGGAGGAGAATGTGCATCAAATACTCCCAAAGTCATCAATAAATTAGCAACTGTAGAATCATGTGCTGAATACATATACATCTTCTTTCCAATTCCTGATCCTTCATAGATCGCTTTCTCCATATTTGATATGAGCTCTTTCAACAAAGGTCCTGAGAAAATGTGGTTACTTAGAACAAACAGAAATACTAGCAAAGTTTCTTTCATCAGCATTTTATTACCATTTTTATTATATATAGTGGGACGTCTATTATCTGAACTTCAACCATCCAAAACTTCAAATATCTGAACTCGTATTTGCTCTGAATAATTATTTGTTTAATTGGGTAATGTATACTACACATATTAAGTTTCTTTTGTAATACTGAATATTGAAAATGACTCCCAATATGATTGCCAGTGATAAAATATTAACAAGATACTGTACTATAGTAAATTATCCGACTTCAGTGAACATTGAAATCCTACAATAAATACCTAAGAACCCAGAATGTTTATTATTAGGAGAAAAAAATTGCTTTTCCCCACCATTAAGTGCAAAGGAACTAAAGGTACATTGTCAAACAACCAACCGTAACCACTGCCATTTAGTGCAACTGTAGCCTACGTAGATAAGCAGTACAGTCATTTTACTGAATAATCAAGAACTGTTTTATTTCCAGTTTAAAGGATTTTTGTTCAAGAGGTGGGTTCTCTAGTGGCTGGATTGTGTTTTGTGAACTTAGTGTACATACAGGTAGGGCATCTTCTAATTCACAATGAAAACATAACGTGTTGACAATGGAAATAAAATTTAAAATCTTAAATCAATTAGAAAAGGGAGAAAGTGTGGCTTGCATGGCACATAAATGCAGCATATGTAAATCCACCATCTTCGATATAAAAGCAAATTAAGACAGCATTATACAATTTGCAGCGAAGCTAGACGCGGATGATTGTTCGAAGAAAAGAAACACTAAACGATTCTATTCTTAACAGGCTGTTTACACATGGTTTGTACAAAGGCTCAGAAAAGGAGATCCAATATTGCCCATTGTTATGTAAAAAGGCATTAGAGCTTAATCGAAAATTAGGTGGCTCCTCAGATTTCTCCTAGATGCTAGTGTACCCTATCAACTCCCATTGTATCATTATATGATTTTACAGCTTCTGGATTCTTTATCTGCTTGCCTCCCTTGTGCACCATTTTCAATTTAAATTGTGGATAGTGCTCAACAAAGCGACACTCTGATCTTCGCACCTCATCACCTTTACTTTACCCCACTGGTAAACAATCATTTTCCTTTCTTAAGGTTCTTACTGCAAAATCCAGAAAGCATCTTTTATAGAAGTTCACACTGTGTCATAAACATCAGTTCTTGGAAAAACAAGGTTTGCTACCTCCAAGAAAGTGCAAAAATTGTCAATTGTTAGGCAGTAATCTCTATTGAAAAGAGGTTTGATAAGACTCAATACTATTTGAGATGAACTGAGGAAGATTCTTATATTCATCATCAAATCTTGCACCTTTACTTGAATATGTAGGGATACACAGAAAGAATAGTAGAATTTAAACAGACCGACATATTGTAAGTAGTACAATCATTTAATTGAAAATACGTTGAGAACACAGGTAAAAGTATACCATTTAGTCATTTTTGAAAATAATCACTTTTTCTTGAATATTATGCCGGGAAACTAACTATTACATTGTACACATTCCTGCAAGCAGCGAATCACATGATGTACCATGTTCTAGGGGATTTGACACGGCAAGGCTTTCTCGTATCTGGCGCTTAAGATCCGCCGATGTGCGAGTGTGTGTAGTGTTGGCGTGCCTCTTTAGATATCCCTATAAGAAATTAGGGGTAGTCAAATCTGCATTACATTAAACATTACACATTCATCAAATGAAGTTCATGGTGAATGTGAAGGGATGTAGAAGCACAGAGGCAACAGAGAGTGGAGAGTCATACGTGGGAAATATGAGTAGCATAGGATGGAGAGTGAGGACAGGCAAAGCTTAGTTCATATTCATTTAACATTTACAATAAAAATAATTCTTAGCCAAACTGGACAAGTATCAACTGCATGGAAAACTGCAACTGTTTCCATGCCAATATTTAAAAACCGGATAAAATTCTAGCATAAAATACAGAGACCCTTAGTTTGATTAGTATTATAGAAAAGGCAATGGAAAGAATTATTGTTTGGAAAATTTGTGATGATGCTCCACAAAATGTCCTACTTTCCAAACAACACAGATGCTTTAGATGGTAGGAAACTAATAAATGTAATCATATGGACCATTCTACATTTGATGGAGTATCCCATGTAGGAAATTTGAAAAATGGGATGTAGGAGGATAACTCCTTGTTTGGATTCGAGAATAGCTGACAAGAAGAACATTCCAGTTCAAACTAGAGGAAACCTTTCATCCTCAAGGCAAAGAAATTCAGTAGTGAGGATTGAGAGTAAGGTCAAGTAATGAAGACGAGTAATGCAGACAATGGGGACAGATAATGAGGTCAGGTAGTAAGGACGTTGTGCAAAAGGTCTTGTTTTGCATTATGACATCATGTTTTTCAGATGTCTTGATGAAAAGTCAAGCATACGTAGCTATGCACAACATTGCACATTTCATTAAACCTCATAAAAAAATTGTTTTGTTTGAAAAAATGTTTGTATGTCATGTTTCATGGGCAATCAGCATAACAAACAATACATTTGATTTCATATTGATCACCGCCCTGGGAAACTCTGATCAATTGAAAAAACTACCTGATTTGAGACGTTGCAATAATGGAGTGAAAGCTTGGAAAGTAAAGCTGTAGGCTGCTAAACCTGCCATTTTCTCAGGAAATACGCTTTGGGTCCACTCTGGGAGAGTCAAGTTGTAAAGATCCTGAAACAAATTGAATTACAGTTGAACATAGCTTACCCTCCATCAACTACATGAAAACATCTGAAGCATCGAACATACCTTTCTAGAAAACTATTACACAAAAACCTACATTACTGTGTTGTGTATATTGATTATTGATAGTGGTGATAATTGTATTCATGAGGTTTCACGTTATGATGTTTCAATGTTATAAATCATCATAAGAAATATTAACAAATATACACAAATTTTGGACATTGAAAATGCCTAATAATTCAGCAACACAGAGTTGAAAATGGGAAGTTTTATTCAGAATAGTATATGTCAAAACACTATGACAACAAAATTGATAGTCCAACAAGTCTGACACATCAACATTGCACAACAAAAGTAAAACATCTCCAAATTGATCATTTTGCAGGATAATTGTAATACACCCCCTCTACTTGGGTATAAATAGAAACTGGGGTGTGGGATATTATGTTAACAATACCATAAAATCAAATCTGTAGTTCATTTATTTATTATAAAGCAGCAGCAAAGCTGATTTGCAAACATCTATAAATACACTGTTTACCAATATAAAAAAGTTTTTATGACTCGAAGTAAAAATTTCTTTAAACATTGCTAACCCCACTTAGTAGTTTTATTTATCATTAAACAGTAAAAGGGTGGTGTAAGGATTCTGCAGCTCAAGACAACTTCTACTCCATACATCATATACAGTTTTTAATGTTTTGTAATGAAATATAAATCATAAATAAATTTGCCTAGAGGAATTTATTTTGTAGCCAAAGAAAACACATTTTGCTCCAAATACCAGCTGTCTACTGAACAACCTTTATGAAATGTCTACTCTAAATCTACCGTTTCTAAACATAAGTCTTCACTTAACTAAAAAATTACAATTTTATAAACAAATAACTTGTCTCTTGCATTGATTGCATAGGATCTACCACCAAGGAGTATAGGATATCACAAAGACATAACCCTAGAAAACATTCAATGAAATTTTGAAATACTTAAGTATTCTACTGACAAATTGCTTTTTCAACTAATTGTGACACGAGAAATAATCTAGTTTGAATTGAAGGTAATCTTCAAACTTGGGCATACATTCTTTAACAAAAGACTAGACTTCTCAAAGATGTTAACAGCAAAAATACTACTTCCAATTACTCGAAACTATACAGTTTTATTAAATATTTTCTAAAATTCTTGTTCAAACATATGCAATTGTGATTATCATAAACCTAACCCTTTTAAAGAAAATTATCATGACATTTTTCTTGTACAAGATATTTTTATCCATGAACAGAAAGTAGTTTCTTGAAGCTTAACACTTTTGAGAATTCATCTTCAAAAGTAGTTGCATTTGCATTATGTAACCCTATTCCAAAAGGGTAATAATTGCTCCTTAGAAGAAAAATTACTAGTACAATGGCACTGATAAACATAATAGAAGATCCACTTTTCACAAACAAGATTTGTCTACTGAGACTCTGACCAAGTATAAAACTCAGAGAAACAGACATACATAGCACAGATGTATCTTTCGAATATTATTTGAACTTGTTTAAAAATAACTGAAATAAGCCCCAATACAATATCTTTAAATATTTGTAAGTAAATTTTTTGGTAGATCCCATGATTTCACTCCTGCATTTATGAATACTTACAAATATTTTAAAAAATGGGCCAAAAATGGGTGATCTGTGGCCAATTATCTGTATCCAAGACTTGAATTGTTCCCAAGACAAATGCAAACATCTGCATGAGCACCATAAAACAATACACTCACACATGATTGAAGATGTCAATTCTTGTCAAAATATTTTTAACATGGATCTAGGAAACTGATAGTATGTCACCCGCACAATGTTAACCGGTCAGTACAAGTTACGTCTGGTGTAAGTACTAAGAAGAGCATTCATTAATCATACATTGGCTACGCGCAACATTCTAGTACTTTCTTTACCTTCCTCTGCTTTGTCCCACGTTCAATTCCACTTCATCTATTTACATAGAACCTGCTTGGCAAAAATGTTCACTCTAACTTCCATGTACACATTTATACTCTTCTTTATAAATTATTAGTCCACATTTATTAACCCAGTAATACAAGAGGGCACTCAACAAGAATGTCATGCCACCTGAAGTTTTGCTGAAGGAAAACAGGAAAGCTAATGGGATAGACTTACAATTTGAGGCTCAAAATGTAAAAGAGGTAATAGTGAAAGCATTAATGACCTCATAACTTACAATGAAACACAAGAGTGATTAAAAATATTGACCTTTCTCTTGAAAGGACTCATTGTAAAGCTCACAATTTACAAGGTAACAAAACTTTTGATCACCAGCATTTAACTTCTTTCATAATTAATAAGAGGAGAATGTATGTACAAATGTATGCATAGTTCTCACCTCAACATGAAGAGTGTCATACAAATATTCCAGAGACACCAAATCATGTATTTCAGCACCACTGTGTTTACTTAAATACTCATACAATTGCTTGTTTTTCCGATTCAATTCTTTCATTTCAACAGAATTCATAACAGCCTCAAGAGCCTTGTTGTACCGAGGGCAGAGCTTTTTCCCAGCTAGAATCTACAATAAAGTATGGTACCAATGACAATCAATAAATCTTCAGTAAATGTCACACCATAATTTATGTGAATATTAATACCATGTCATCTATTTCTGGAGTAGTATGAATAGGAATGGGTTGCCATGAAAGTGTTGGATTCCATCTCTGAGAACCTGTTGGTGGGTATAAGCCAGCCAAATTGCTCTCTGCACTCATCAATGTCCTATCCACATCAGTACTTCGGATGTAGATATCGTCCCTTGAATATTCCTCGGGGAGGAAATGGTCATAACGCTCTCTCAACCATTTTCCAAGCTCGAAGTGTTGTTCTTTTCCTCTCTACAAAACAAAAATTTAATCATGAAAACCATAATTAATCAAATTTCAAAATGTAAGTAAGTACTCATTTAGTTTACATTCATGATAAACATTACCCACATTTGTAAGCTGACCCCATCCTACAGGCCAGAAGCTCACATTGCGGTATGGGTCAGTTGGATAGGGAGACACAGGAGTTCTATCACCATGTCTGTACACCTAAAATAGAAATTTGTTATGGTAAGTTTAATGTGCAAGGAGCAACAAAAAGAGTACAGCAGCCAGTTTAATTACTGATCATTTTATATAGAAACAAAGACGTTTTCAATAATAAACATTGATAATATATAAAAAAATGTTCCAGAACAATATATCAAAATAAACTTACCACATTTACTAGAACTAATGTTCCTGGCTCATTTTCACAGGACGCTCCATCGATTAAAATACTATATATAAACAATATCTTGAGCAACAAAGCAGGCAGTAGGAATGTCATGTTGCTGTGGTAAAATTGGCGCGCTTTACATGTTTACATACACCTTCTTACCGTGCGCTTAAAGCCCTATCACTCGAAATCAGCTCTAAAATTGCTTACCACAAACTACTTTTCATATCTTCCCCATATCGCTTCCATATTCAGCAGGTGGCTAGTCAAGCAAACAAAGCTGTGCAAATCAGCTTTTCGCAGACAACCAATCGCATTCATTTCACACAAACACAACACCACACAACACTGGAAACACCTGCTCATAACAGTCCGAGCATCCAAATAGAACTTAACAAAATATTCTTTAAAGAATTAAATTCGGTTCATGGGATTGGTCAATTGTTTCTCTAACCTCTTGACCAATCTCGTGCACCGATTTTAATTCTTTATTCTTCAATAGTCGTGATTATACAATGGTGAATAGTCTTAGATGAATGAATTAATTAATTGTGAAGAATGAAGTATGTTGGCATCAATGATAATACGGGAATTTTAAATTGTGTCAAGCATAATGGGGTTCCGTAGGCCTATGGGTTTTCTGATGTTCGCGGTTGCATTCTCATCATCGTAATAGGCAATGTATGAAAATCTCTAAACGAATATTTTATAATACAAAATACTGTTCCTTTTTATCTGCGAACTTAATGTCTTGAACTTTTATGCGATTGACATATTATTTTTATGGTTTAAAAATAAATTAAAGTGGCAGAAAAAATGAAGCAGATCTATAGTATATAATTTCAAAGACTGGTATTCTTGAGTTCATGTCATTCAATTGCACAGAATGACCTAAACGCAAGAACCACAGCCTCATGATGTCTTCATGATATTTCCACCACGCACAGCCTGTTTGTAATATCAAGAAGCCAAGATATACAGCAAAGCTATATTATTTTTGTAGAAATACTTCTGGTATTCTCAAACAAACAAATTAGGTTGTGTCATATTTCGCTAAGCTTCGTACGTTACAGCATATTTCATTAATCAAAACAATAGTAGACAGAAACACATGTACTGCACGGAACCAGGTGAACCGCCTCAACTTGACTACCCCGTGTCCATGCCCTACTATCAGGATTGTGCAACGGTAACATTATATAATATTTCTTTCACAAGATATTTTGAAAGTTTTTACTTAACATTTATCCTTTTTAATACAACACATTATCTCTTGAACATCTTAGTTTAACTCTTATTTTATTTTGATATGTTTTGTGTGGGGTTAATCAATCTAGTCCTACCGTAGTTCCATTTGTTCGTTCTTGAGACATGGGTGGTTGTTCTTCCCCCAAGTTTTCCTGAAGACAGACACATAGGTTCGTTGCTGATTGTCATTTTGTGTGGAGTTTTCAATGACGTATTGGTGCTGAAATTGGTCATCATTGTGTTTTCCTACAGAAAAATGGCGTATGTTTGTCTCTTTATTGCGACTGTATGTTTGTCCGTTTTCACAGTATGATCGAGGACTTTCCGCTTTGTTTTCACCTTGACCATAACGTTTCAAATCAACAAACCACGCCTTACTTTCTGACCAAGTTCTGGCAATTCTCGAACCCTGTGTCGATGATCATAATTCCTCTTCCGATCCTCATTCCGATTCCCTCTTCCGATTCTCATTCCTCATCATATTTCGAACAGCATTTCGAGGTGGGAAGGAAGGCTCCAAGTACTATGGTGTCATTGATACTCGCGTTCAAATTCTTCTCTCCCCATGAGTAATTACGTAGGTGAATTACCATTGGATAAAGGGGTTGCTTGATAACTTTTTAGTGGAGCAAACCGATCATCACTCTTTTTCAAACTCTTCTCGGTGATTGTTACCTGCTTCTACTAAACTTTTACTTTGTAGAAATTTGGAACTTTAAATTATGTTGTGAAATCCCATTCTAGAGAAAATTTCGAAATTTAGTATGTTGCCAAAACTTTGCCAAACCTTTGCAAGCGCTAGTAAAATGGTTTCAAGACAACAACTCATCATAAACACCAGCAAGACAGTCTCTCTAAATTTCATGAATCCTCGATCTAAACTCTCACAGTATTTGCTCATAAACAATAACCCTGTAACGATATTTCATGAAACTACCTTCCTCGGTCTAACAATTCAAGAAAACCTAAAATGGAATGCTCACATCTCAAATCTTAACAAGAAGCTCACCAAATCTTGCTATGCCCTATACACCCTCGGGCCAAGCTCGAACATTGAGACACTTCGAACAATGTATTTTGCAAATGTGCTCTTACACCTAAAATATGGAATTATATTCTTGAATATATGGAACTGCCCCTGAAAGCACTCGCACATTTATTATCCAAAAAAGAATATTGCGAACAATGACCAGCACTCATAAGATGGAGTCTTGCAAACCCTTGTTCAATAAACTAAAGATTCCCTCTACCATGCATGTATATCATTGAAATAGTGGTCTTCACAAAGAAAATTCTCATGGAAAACAAAGACCCTTTTACTTTAAATTCCAATGTACATAAGTACAACACTCGTCAAAAGGGTACCTTTCATGTTCTCCACTCTGAAACTACACTTTATCAAAAAAGTACCCTAATAGAGGGCATTACACTTTACAACAAACTAGGCAATGATATTAAACACAATTTATACATTTAAAAGTAAATTGAAAGCTTTCCTGCTTAACATGTTCTACAGTGTAAAGGAATATTCAAATCACAAAAATATTTTCTTTAAAAAATATAAATAAATAAGAATTTCTTATCCCATTTGACTTTCTGTTTCATGTCAACTGTTTCGAACTAAAGCAAAGAAAAAAGAACAACGCATCCTGTGACATAGAAGGAGAATGCCTGACAAAAAAACTATTTTTCTCTGGATCCGCTAGACGCATTAGGAGCTGCAGTAGGGCTACGTGTACAAATTGAAAGAAAAAAAACTGGTCAAAACCTGCCTCCTCCTCACCATTTCAAATTTTAAACATAGAATGTACTAATATTGTTAATTTTTTTATGGTTGCTAACAGAATTGATATAATGTATTACTTTATTATTATTATTATTATTATTATTATTATTATTATTATTATTATTATTATTATTATTATTAAAACGTGACTAATATGTATGCCATGATCACTTTGAACTGCCTCTAGAGTGCCGTGAAGTGCAAATTTCACTATAGATGAGTGATGACCATTGTTTTTTGGAGATTGACTAACAATGCTATCTCGAGATAACTTGAATTCAAATCGGTGACTAGTAAATCCCATTTTTCTTTCAGCTTGAACAAATCCATGGCTAACTTTTGCCAAGCTCTTCAATCGTTGGTAACATTTGGTGTAATCGTTGGTGTAATTTGCTTCACTGAACTTGTATATCCTTGTCTAACTGGTCATCTTAAGTAATATTCGTTGATCTTCTTGAGAAAATGTTTGCTGTTCGCTATTATTTACCCCGCAAGTGTTTTACCTCGTCTACATAAATGAAGTCTCATCCTTCGTGGGGAAATATAAAGATTTTTAGTCGTAAAGACGATGTCTTTACGTCAGAAAATTTGAATGTTAGCCCTTAAGACTTGCTATCTGTCTCCATTATTACTGTACGCCCTGCAGGGGCCAACTCAGTAGAGACCTGATCCCTGCCCCCCCCCCCCGCAATGAAATTTGGGAGAGGTATGTTACGCGGGGAAGTCAAAATAGTAATATACTACCCTCACTTTTACAATTCAGAGAATTCAAAACTCCACGAAAACTACTCTTATTTCGAAAAAATGTATGACATGATTTGAAGATCTACTATTCAGAAATATATTGAATATATTGCAATGAAAAGTACCGGTATAATATATTTGCTATTACTTATCAGAACACGGAAAACATCTAGAAAATTTCTCACATTTCGAAAAAAATGTTTGGGAATAAGATAAAGATCTATCTTATATTCACGAATATATTACATGGATTAAAATGTTCCCGCTTCAATATTAAATGTGTAAAATAAATTTGAAAAGAACTTTGACTTCTACAATTTTTAAAATTTCAAACCTCTCAATGAAAATAAAACATATAAAACTTTACTTTATTTGAGAAAATAATTAAAGAAACAAATTAGTAACCGTTTGAGAGAGAGAGAATATTCATTACGTGGTTTATTAAATGCCTTCATTTCAGTCACAATTAAAAGTATTATGTAAAAAAGTATGTGTGACATAGTTTAAAGATGTAATTTTGAGGAAGATATTGCATTGAAGGGTCACAACTGACTAGGACCTTGTCGGGAGAAGCCGATGCACATACTAGTGCACATACTTGTACCGATGTGTGTACCGATGCACATACTTGTAGGCCCTCTACCATTAAATACCAGAGATGCCCTTGTAATGGGGTACTCTGTCAGAAGACCGTTTGAGAAAAGCGCAAATAGTCAGCAAGTCCAGTCTCTCTCCTCCACGTGGTGGCTTTTGGGTACACTGCGACGAAAGCTCAGAGAGTAGCTATTGAGAGATGGGCGAGGACGAGTCGCCGGCACCAAAATATTGGAACATTTGGCTAAAGGAAGAAAAACCCTGACAAAAAACCAAAGATGAGCTTCTGTAGGTGTAGTAAAACCAGCCTCTTTAGGGGAAAAAGAATCTCAAAGAATTAACCCGGATCCTCCAGATTGTAAAATTGATAAAAGCAGCACCTGATTGTGTTGGATGCTAATATTATCAGCTAGGAATCTCCTAAATGATTCATGACAACGATAATAGACACTGAGGACTTCAAAGACTTCAAAACGTGGTGGTCGAACTATTTTAAGTTGAGTGAAACAAATTTTAAGAGTTTAAGTGAGCCCCGGTGGGATGCACGTATCGCGTGGCTCCATGATGGCCGATTCACGAAACAAATAATAATGATAATAATTTATTATTATTATTATTATTATTATTATTATTATTATTATTATTATTAAAAATAAATAAAAATACACTAACACAAAACATAGGTATTAAATTTAATTTTACTTTGAGATAAACTCTTGAATCTTTAAAAACTAATGATCTAGTTTTTAAAATCTGCCAGTTCGACTTGAGCTGATTCAAACTGTACGTCACTAACATTTTTCCCACTCACGCACACGTAGCTTAGTTTCCGCGCACATGCACTGATTTTAATTTTTGTTGTTAACTAGCACTACTCACCACTCGGAGGGGCTTATCAAGTACTCATTGATGCTGGTAAAAGGTAGCCACGTCCAGATTTGCCTTTCAAGAAAGTTTATGTCTCAGCCATTCTTCCAATCAATGGAAAGAAAATAACCGACGTTCAAAAAATAGTAAAATACATCCCACATAAATATCTCAATTTC